AGCTGGCAAGCTTGAACCACCAACCTTGTAGTTCAAATGACTTTGCAGTCTGATGAATTAGCCCACAGCACCACACCAGTCACCACATTGTTGTTGTTGTTATTGTTGTTATGTGCCGTGGAGTCAGTTCTGACTCATAGTGACCCTGTACAGGGTTTTCAAGGCTGTAAATCTTTACGGGAGCAGAACACCTCATCTTTCTCCTGCGGAACAGCTGGTAGTTTCGAACTGCTGACTGTGAGGTTAGCAGCCTGATTTGTAACCATTAGGGGAGGGTTAATTAAATGTTTGAGCAAATATAGCAGGCGAATTTTTGAGTTGGTAATTCTGTATGCCCTGTGAATGATGTTATAAATATCTAAATGGCCCTTGGCAGAAAAAAAAAGGCTCCCTATCCCTGCTTTAAGCAATATCTCCCATTAACCTGTCCCTTTCCAGCTTCTGGTAACCACTAATGAACTTTAGGTCTCTATGCATTTGCCTAAACCAGATAATTTCACAGAAGTGAGAAGATAGCATGTTTTCAACGTTCATCTACATCATATTATGTGGCAGAATTTTATTTGTCTTTGTGGCTGAATTATATTCCATTTTATACATATCATATCTTGCTTATCCACTTACTTGTTGATTAATCACCTGAGTTGTTTATACCTTGTGGCTAGTGTGAATAATAATGCAATGAATACTGGTATATAAAGTGTTTGAATACTTGCTCTCAAGTCTTTTGAGTATATACTCAGGAGTAGAAGCGTAAACACGGTAGCTATGAGATGGAGCCAACTGGACTGCATTTAACAACAAATGATAATTTTGTGTTTAATTTTTTGAGGAACTGTCAAATTGTTTTTAACAGTGGCAGCAACATTTTACATTCCCACCAGCAAAGCATGAGGATTTCAATTTCTTCACATCCTCACCAATACTTGCTACTTTTTCTTTTTCTGATAATTGCCATCTAGTGGATTTGAGGTGGCATTTCACTGTGATTGTGATTTGTTTATTTCCATAATGACTACTGACAATGAGCATCTTTTCATGCACTTAGGAACCACCAAGTCTACATTTTCTCTTGAGAAATGTCTATTCAAGTCTTTTTCCCACTTTTTAATTGGATTGTCTTTTTGTTGTTGAGTTGTAGGAGTTCTGGATATTAAACTCTTATCATATATTTTCTCCCATTCTGTAGGCTGGCTCTTCACTTTCTTAATAAAGCCCTCTGAGACCTAAAAGTCCTTAATTTTCACAGTCTAATTTATCAATTTCTCCTTAATTTTGTTGCCCATGTTTTCGATGTTACATCTAAGAATTTATTATCAAAAATTGGTTTAATAAAGTATATCCCCTTTTTTTCTAAGAGTTTTTCGGTAGGTCACTGCCACATTTTAAGTTTATTTTCAAATACGATATTAAGTATGGGCCCACCTTCATTCTTTTGAATGTGGTGATTCAGGTGTCCCAGAGCATTTATTGAAGAGATAATTGTTTCCCCATTGAGCAGAATTGGCAACCTTGTCAAAACTCAACTGATTGTAGTTGTAGAGGCTTAATTTGATAGTTTTGGCAAAGATAATTTTGGTCTTTGGTGGTGGTGGTTATGTGCTGTGGAGTTGGTTCTGACTCATAGTGACCTTGTACAGGGTTTCTGAGGCTGTACATCTTTACGGGGGCAGAAAGCCTCATCTTTCTCCTGCGGAACAGCTGGTAGTTTCGAACAGCTGACCCTGAGGTTAGCAGCCCGATTCGTAACCACTACGCTACCAGAGCTCCTTAATTTTGGTCCTTGGAATGCTTTAAAATACAATTAAATATCAACCTGGTGGCAAAATACATATTTATCATTGAAAGGTAGAACTAAGAACAAAAACACAGGAAACTACTGTTGAATATATCTAAACTATACACCAGCCACTATGCTAGGGACTTCACACATGTTTGCTTTTATTTAATCTACAAATTAACTCTGCAGTACTTCTTTTTTTTAAAGTAGCCCCTTGTGCTGCTTGAATGACTGCCTTTTGATCTATGTACAAGTACCTCAAGAGCACATTTAAGTGGTCTAGAATAACCGTTCTTTACAATGTTATCTATAGCTTGCCATGAACCACTGGGTTAAAAGCCTTTACATATCTCTCAGCCAAGATGCATCTGACATATGCAATAAAATTCCTCTTTCCATGTTCTTGTATGAATTTGGCTTGAACCTCTGGCAGTTCCCTACTGATGCAACATTTCAGCCATTTAAAAATTATCTTCAGTAACATTTTACTTACATTTGATATTAATCTTATTTTCTTATGGGTTCTCTATTCTTTTGGGTCACCAGTTTTTTTAATGGGCCCAATTCTTCCAATCAGTCAGGCAGGTAGCTGTACTCTAAATCTCTTGTTAAAGATAAATGAGTGCCCCAGTGCTACATCATTTTGTTGAAGATTTCAATTTGTATGCCATCAATTCCCAAAACCTTGTTCTTTCCAAATGCCTTCAGTGTACCTTTGACTTCTTCTTTCAGTACCATTGCCTTTTGATCATATGCTCCCTCTTGAAATGGTGGAACACTGATCATTTCTATTTGGTACAATGACTCTGCGTATTCCTTCTATCTTCTTTTGATGCTTTCTACATTTAGTCTGTATCTTGCCCATAGAATCTTTCATTATTGAGAGTAGAGGCTTGAATTTTGTCTTCTGTTGTTTCAGCTTGTGGAATGCTAAGCCTGTTCTTTCCTTTTGCTTTTCTAACTTCAGGCCTTTGCCCATTTTATTATAATGCCTTATTTTAATGAAATATTTATTTCAGTTCAAACTGCCCTTTGAAACTTTATGTTCAGCTCTTTTACCTCCTCATTTCTTCCATTTATTTTATCATCTCTATACTGGAGAGCAAGTTTCAGATTCTCTTCTGACATCAATTTTGGTCTTTTCCTTCTCTCCTGTCTACGCAATGACGACCGTTTGTTTTCTTCCTGTATGATATTCTTGATGTCAACCCACTACTCTTCTGGTTTTTGGTAATTAATGCCTAATGCATCAAATCTGTTCTTGGATGGTCTCTGAATTCAGGTGGGATGTGTTCAAGGGCATATTTTGGCTTTTATGGACTTGTTTTGATTTTCTTCATCCTCAGCCTGAATTTGCATGTGAGCAATTGATGGTTTATTCCACAGTCTGCAGTACTTCTTATTCCTAGTTTGTAATGAAGAAATTGAGGTTCAGAGAGAACAAATGACCTCTGATTCTTCTGTACCAGTAACTAGCAGGAATAAAGATGCACAATTTTCCCACGAAGCTATAATTATTAAATTAAGAATTTATGAGTCCTTTTTTGGACTCATAGACAGCAAAAGAGAAAAAGCACACACAATTATTTTTCTGTCAGGACTAAAATGTTAATCTACCTCATTACATTGTTATTGTTAAGTGCTGTCAAGGTGATTCTGACTCACAGTGACCCAATGAGCAACAGAACAGAACACTGGCCAGTCCTGCACCATTCTCCCAATCATTCCTGTGTTTCAGCCCACTGTTGCAGCTACTGTGTCGATCCATTTCATTGAGGGTTTTCCTCTTCTTCAATGATCCTGTACTTTACCAAGCATGGCAAATAGCAAATGAGAAGGGTAATATATACATGCGATAAGTGAAGTGCAGAACATAGGAACGTGTAATCAAAAAAGATAAAAATAAGAATTTTTAGAGCTATTTTTCTATTGCTTATCCTCAGTTAATAATCTCAAAATTATGTAGTTGTAAACAAAGATGAAAGGAGTTCTGGTAGCATAGTGGTTATGAATTGGGCTGTGAACCGCAAGGTCTGCAGTTCGAAACTACCAGCTGTTCGGTGGGAGAATGAGGCTATCTGCTCCTATAATGGTTTACAGCCTTGGAAACCCTGTACAGGGACGCTATAAGTCAGAACTGACTTCACGGCACATAACCACCAAACAAAGATGCGGTACTATGGGTTAATGTGCTGGACTGCAAGGTCGGTTTGAACTGCAAAGTCGGCGGGTCAAGCTCACCAACCACTCCTTGGAAACCCTATGCAGGGTTGCTATGAGTCAGAACCGACTTGATGGCACATAACAACAAACAAAGGTCATTTGGTTCCTAGCTTTTTAACTTCAAAGAAAGTAGATATAACATTGAGGAGGTTGGGGGTGAAAGGCAGGTTTTAAAGCTGAACTTTCTCTTAACAACATGTGAAAAGACATGAATTAAAAAACAGAAAAAGGAAAATAATATATTAAAGACTATACTATATTCAAATTACATAGCCCTCCTAAACTTTTAGCGAACAAAATTAATTCCTTGCCACAAAACATCAAAACAATGAATTAGAAATAAAAATAAATATTCTCAATAAAATATGCTCAACACAATTGCTTTAATACTAGGGGGCTTCAAAAATTTCATAGAAAATGAAATTAAGAGTTAATGGAATTTTTTCACACACTTTTTGAAGACCCCTTGTGTATTATATCAGAGCCAAAATTTATGTATCAGTAGAAAATATTTATAAAAGCACCAAGATCAAATCTAACATCTTTGACACACAGAGAGTAATCATTATATACTAAAACTGTTTTTTCAATATATATTGCCACTATATTTTAGGAAACATGACTTACCTTCTATTTAAAGTAAATACATTTCTATTTTTAAATGTTTAATAAATCACATTTAACAGCATTCAGTATCAATAATTCTACAGCATTCAGAGTTGTCAAGTGTTCTAGTGAAACATATTTTATTCACTGATTTCCATACACATTTAGGACTTTTCCTTTACTAACAAGAAATGCATTGGTTTTAATGGTCACATTCAATATAACTCAGAAAGTACCCCACTGATTCAGTATGCTGAATAAAAATTATTACTATGAATTTAAGCATATTAAATGGTAGTATGTGACCACACTGAATTAAGAATGTTGCTCATATAACAAAACTTTAGATAACTGAATGTCTAGGTTTTAAAAAATAATTCTGTGCACTTACTGATTGCATGCTTACTCCAACTTGTTGAAATACCATTCTAACTAGGCGCTTAATCCAGCCAAGCATTTAGATGGTCAGTCTCTCCGAACTTGCATTTCAAATATTTCAGGCATACATAGCAGCACATGTCCATAAAGCATACTGAAATTGTAAAATAAAAATGTTAGAACAAAATATTTAGAATACTGTTTACAGCATATCTCAAAGTCTAAAATATACCATTTTCACATTTGCTTATAATCAGCTTTGAAAAAACCAACTGTAAGAATAAGAGTTTCAAGGGACTTTGTTGAAAGCAACAAACAGGTACTACAGCTACATATCAAAGGGCTTTATAGAGAATGTGAAGACAATCCACAGAATGGGAGAAAATGTTTGGGAACAATATGTCTGATAAAGGTTTAAATATCCAGGAACAAATATACAAAGAACTCCTATAACTTAACAACAAAAAGATAAAGAAACCAGCTTTAAAAAAGGGCAAAGTCTCATGAACTCTAGACTTTCTGGAGCATAGGAGGCTGGTTGACACCCTAAAACTATTGCTCAGAGATAATCTTTAAACTATAAACCAAAATACCCCTGAAGTCTTCTTGAAACCAAACAAGAGTTTAGTTTAACTACTAAAACATGTCTGCCTTGAGTGTTACACTCTTTTAAGAACAACTACATGGGAACACACTGGAAATATTAGGTAGGAACCTTTGGGGACAGTGAATTTCTGTTAGTTGGGGAGGAACAAACTCAGAAAACGAGTGTAAGAATAGATGTACAACTCGAAGAATGAACTCAGTGTCAGTCAATAGTACATGCAGAAACTGTTGACTTGGTTTAAGTTCTGCGGCACACATTGTTGTTGTTGTTAGGTGCCATTGAGTCGGAACCGACTCATAGCGACCTTATGCACAGCAGAACGAAACACTGCCTGATCCTGGGCCAACCTCTATACTGTTGCCACACTTGAGTCCATCGATGCTGCCACTTGGCCAATTCATCTCATTGGGGGTCTTCCTCTTTTTCCCTGACCCTCCACCTTACTAAACATGATATCCTTCTCCGGAGACTGGTCCCTCCTGACAATATATACGAAGTATGAGAGACGAAGTTCGGTCATCTTGGCCTCCAAGGAGCACTCTGGCTGCACTGCTTTCAAAATGGATCTTTTGGTTCTTTTGGCAGCCCATGACACTTTCAATATTCTCCTCCAACACCATAACTCAAAAGCATCAATTCTTCTACAATCTTCCTTACTCACTGTGCAGCTTTCGCATGCATATGAGGTTATTGAAAATACCATGGCTTGGGTCAGGCTTACCTTAGTCTTCAAGCTGACATCTTTGCTCTTCAACACTTTGAAAAGGTCTTGTGCAGCAGATTTGCCTAATGCAATACGTCGTTTGATTTCTTGACTGCTGCTTCCGTGAGTGTTGATACTTGATCCAAGAAGAATGAAGTCCTTGATAACTTCAATCTTTTCTCCATTGATAAAAATGTTGTTTATTGGTCCAATTGTGAGGATTTTTGTTTTCTTTACATTGAGATGTTATCCATACCGAAGGCTGTGCTCTTTGATCTTCCTTCATCAGTAAATGTTTTAAGTCTTCTTCACTTTCAGCAAGCAAAGTTGTATCATCTGCGATGGCAGGTTGTTAATGACTCTTCCTCCAATCCTGATGCCACATTTTCCTTCACATAACCCAGCTTGCTTCTCGGATTATTTGCTCACCATACAGGTTGAATAAGTATGGTGAAAAATACAAGCTTGTTGCATACCTTTCTTATATATTCAACAAAATAAACAAAATTATATCTAATAAAAATGTCTGATTTGATAAGGTAGGAAGTTGCTTTGAAATGTTTGCAGAATATACCAAACTTTATGATTTTTGATCCTTTAAAAAACTGTTAGCGACACAGAGAAACTGTTAACTGATGGTATGTGGAGGGGATTATAATCAATGTAATGAAACAAGGTATATGAATGTTAGAATGTGAAACCGATGATGTGCCCTGAAAACTTTCACTCAATCCACAATAAAAACCTTAAAAAAAACAACAAACAAACATCAAGTTACAATGTATGGTGTCAAGTATGCAAAGCAAAAAGTTACAAATGAATCCTCACTGAGATGTAAGATTTTATGTTTTACTTTTCTTATAATCAATGTTTCTTTGTGTAGGAGATACTGTTTAACTTTTTGTCAAATATGTTTATTTATATCCTTTGGTTATGTTTGTTAAAAGCAGACTGATTTTCCTGCACATGTACTGTTTTGCTATTAAAATATATTTTAATATCTGTAATTTAAAAGAAATACAACCCATTAATATAATAAATAGCAATAAAAAATCTGAAAAAAAAAAACCTGTTAGCAAAAAATGGTACATTTTATCATGTTCTACACAAATGGAAAGGAGTTCTGGTGTTGCACTGTGGCTAATGTGTCAGACTGCAAAGTCGTTTGAACTGCAAGGTCAGTGGTTCAAGCTCACCAGGTGCTCCTTAGAAACCCTATACAGGGTCGCTATGGGTTGGAATCAACTTAACGGCACATAACAACTACAACAACAACACAAATGTAATATTTGAAACTTCCAAAGTACGGACATGTTAAACAAATACATTTAAACTAAAGAATTCTTCCTTATCTCATTTACATATTGCCATTCCAAACAAGAGTCCACACCACTAAGCTGTTGTTGCTGTTAAGTGCCGTTGAGTTGATTCCGATCCATAGAGACCCTGTATAGGGTTTCCGAGGATGAGCTTGAACAACCAGCAATAATAAATATTAAGAGCCAACCTTCATTGAGCATTCACTATGCTTACTGCATATAATACTTCATCTAATTACCACAAACAACTTTATGAAGGTGAATACCAAATTACCTTTCATTTGTAGAAGAGTAAACTGAAGCTGAGTTGATGGCAAAATTAGAATTCAAAACCAGGTATCTGAAGGTAGAATGAGATGTATGTACAGCCTTGGAACAACAAGGCCTATGATATAGAGATCCAGACATAGTCTGAATTAGTAAAGGAGGGGAAATAAAGTTAAGGTACTTGACTACTTTGTGAATATCAGGTTCCCCTGCCTACTAATGTAATATAGACATTTAAGAGGGATAGAACAGAAAACTGGGAAAGACGATTACTGAAAGCTTGCAAGCCCGGCTACAGTCTGTAACTGATTGGATTATGTAAAAGGGGACTAGACCTTTCGAGGTGGGACATCACTAATTGAAAAGACATACAGACCAACCAGACTGGCAAGAGGAACAGAAGTTACTTCTTGAAAGAATGACCAACTTGTGGGGAGAAGGTGGTAGTGGTGGTGGTGGGGAAGCTGACTGTTTGGCTGTGACAATATCAGGCAAGCTCTTTGTCCTGGAGTCATCAAGGCAAAAAGTCAGCCCATCAGGATAAACCCCTTTCTTTTTTCTTTTTTTTTTTTAAGGATAAACCCCTTTCTAAGACTTAAACTCAAAGGGAACATATGAACAGTTTTGGGGCCAACTTGTGAGTGGAAGGGAGGGTAAATGCAGCAAAGACGATGAGGGCTGAGATTGGCCATATTCTATAGATGTTGATGACCTTGAAGTGAGAGAGAGAAGAGGAAGGGCTGGCTATTTTGAAGTTCAGGGAGACATATGAGCTTCCAAGCCCAAGGATACTAACCTAGCGACTGGGGGCTAGATTTAAGAGTGAAGCAGCCAGCTAGTCTGCAGAGGGGGAAGGCAAATAAGAACTCTCACACTTGCAGACCGTACCCATTTGACCTAGCTTGGATGGCTTGCTGACCAGAATTCGACCAGATGAAGATAAAGAAGTATGATACAAGGAGCAAGTGTAAATTGCTACAACCTGATCAACTGGACCTTTGGATGAAGCTGCTCAAAATTCCAACCAAATAGGGAAGATTCTTTATATTAAGGATCAAGCATGCCTCCTCAGTACATTGGATAGATAGGGAAGGGCAACTTACGCTTTAGCTACCAAAACTGAGGGGCTATAAAGGCATGAAGTAGCTGGCTTACAAGCTTTCATGAGGGTTCTTAGGGTCAGAATGAAGGTAGTAAGACAGAAAGAAACCCTTCTTGTCCAGATGGGTCTGGTGATGAGGGGGATAGGATTTTATTGTGAGTAACTCTAATCAGGTCTAAAGGCAATTGTCACAACTGTAAATGTAGAAGAGGAGCAAGTAAATGGAGCAGTTAATCTGTCATTTCAGGAACAGGAGACCCTAGGACTATCAAGAGGAGAGCGAGGGATCCTAACCAGAAGAGTGGCAACAACAAAGATGGTGGCAGAGGTGACAGCACAGAGACAGAGTAGCAGAGGACTACAGGCAGGAACCTGGCTTGCAAAATGGGCGCTTTGGACATTTAAATGAATATTTATTTTCAGTGTGGTATATGCACATAAAAAAAAAAAAAAAGGCAATAGAGGTAAATACTGTTGGCTGAGGGTACATGGAGGGGATTGTAATCACTGAAACGATGGTTGCATGTGAAACTGATGATGTGCCCTGTAAACCTTCACCTACTCAATGAAAGCTTTAAAACAACCAAACCAACCAGGTATCTAATTTGAAAACTTGTGCTTTAATCCCCTGTCTGTCATGCTACTCGCCAAAACTGATAAATTCAGAATTGTTTGTTCTTATTTGAAATGTTGAGTGTTTATGTTTTATTTTGCCAATTGTAATACTACTCAACTTTCAAAAAGCTTATAGTCTTAAACTAGTAAGATAAAATCATGAAATGTTGGACTTGGATTTGTATCCTAGGTGGCCATCTACCAGTTGTTAAGTATGAACAAGTTAATTACTTTCAGATAATAACAAAACCTCATAGAGTTGTCAGATTTGACACTAGATATTACGAGAGAGGTCTGGTTCAGCAATTTCTCTCTCAAACCCTTGGAAGGAATTGACAGGGGTGATAATTCTGTTTTGTTCTGTAGGCTTCAGAACTGTGAGAAAATAAATTTCTAGTCTCTATGGCAGCCGTAAGGAGCTCTGGTAGCGTAGTGGTTACGACTCGGGCTGCGAACCTTAAGGTCA